CACCGAAGTCTCCAGCTGCCCAGCTGAGGAGGAGACAGACAGAGCGTTGGGGTCCCGTCCCCCTGAGGACTGGCTCAGGAGAGGTGGTGAGAGACGAGCAGATCTGTCCCGCTGACTGGCTTCCCTGCTCTGGGCCGGGCCCCATGTCCCTGCAAGTGCCGGAACACTGCACAGGGACAGCCTGCTCCACCCAGTGGCCCTCCAGGTGTCCCCAAGCTGCACCAGAGCCCAAGGACACCTATATAAAAATGGCACCTGGGGGGCTCGGTCGGTTGAGTGCCTGACTCTTGATCCCAGCTCAGGTTTTGATCTCAGGGTCACAAGTCCAAGCCCCATGTGGAGCCCACAATCAATCAATCAATCATTCAATTTAAAGAAGTGGTGGCGGGTAGCTGCACCAGCCCTGCAGCCAAAAGGGACAGCCTTGTCCCGATGTTGTGCTCCTGCCAACCACACAGTCCAGGTACTTCCCACCGTCACCTCTCTGACCCTCACCACAACCCTCCCGGGGAGGGCAGTCACCTCCACCCGGCAGTGAGCTCGGGTGGTGCAGCGGGTGTGGGTCACGCTAGGCTCCTGTGTCACCCGTGTTTGCCCGAGTTTGAACATCCTCACCTGCAAAATGGGGGGCACTGACATAACCCACCTCCCAGGGCAGTGTCCGTGCCTGGAAGTGGCCTCACCGAGCGCATGCCACGTGGGCCCCGTAGCCAGCGAGAGCCCAGTGGCAGTGGCTGAGCATGGGCAGCACTCACTGTGGGGGGCAGGGCCAGGGGGCGCAGGACTCTGGCCACGCTGCCGGCTGCTGGCTCCCTTCACACCGGGCGGCCTCCACCCACTCGTTCCTGGCCTGGTCCAGACAGCTGTAGGTCACCCAGCGCAGCCCTGGGAGGAAAGAGGGAGGCTGGGCCACCTCCCTGCAGGGGGCAAACTGTGCTTCAGGCGAGCCCTGCTCCAGGCCTCACCTGCCCCACAGCTCACCGAGCAGGACCCCCGCACAGCGGCCCATGCCCAGGCCTGTGGCTGCTGAGGCTGGAGGTAGGTGAAGGTGATGTCTGGGCGCGCGAGGTCACCATACTCCTCCCCGTAGCGCCTGTAAACCTGCAGGAGACAGACGGAGAGCTCGCGGGGCCTTGTCCACTGGCCTCCCTGTAGGAGCTCGGCCGGTCACTGGGCTCTGTGCCCAAGACCAGCCCCAGAGCGGGGCCAGGCTGGAGGGCAGAGCCCCGGAGGCCCCCAAGTTTCCAGCCCCTGCCCCGCAAGGCCTCATCTGGGCACACGGCACCATCCTCTGTTTGTTAAAATGAGGATTCTTGAGCCCCACCTGGCAGGTCCTGATTCAGAGGCTCTCAGAGGGGCCCAGGAATCTGTATTTTTATACACACCACAAAGGACACAGACATAGCCGCTTGGCTGCCTGGGAACACTGTTCCTGGCGGGGGGGGGAGGTGGGTGGTCTGGGCTGCACGGGGAGTCAGGGGAAGGAGTGACACCAGGACGAGGCCCCTGCTGGCTCCCCCAGGCCCTCCTGGTCACCTGGATCTCCACGTCGTCCTGGGTGGGTCCCAGGATGCGGATCTCCTCCAGCTGAGGCAGCCGGTCCTCGGTGAGGGCCACTCTGTACTCCACACGGCTGTCCTCCAAGAGGGAGGGGTAGGTGGTGCTGGGAGAGATGCTGGAATTCCCAGCCACGACGTAGCGCCCTCGGATCCGCACTGCTGTGGGGGGAGCAAGGCTGTGGGCAGGGGGAGCGCCACCTCCCCCACACCTGTGGCAGCTGGGCACCAGCCCTCTCACAGAAGAGGGCCTGACTTAAGGAACGGGGTGGTAGCAACAACGGGATGAATCTCCACTGCCCCAGCTCTCCTCCCCGGGGAGCCCATCTGCCTGGTGCTTTGGCTGGTCAGGCAGTCTCTGCAGGGAGCAGGGCACCACCCTCCCAGATGCCCACAGGCGTCTGACCACATGTCCGTGGCTCTGCACCTCTGTCCAGAATGTGGTGAGCACTGTGGATCTGCCCTCTCACCAAGTCTGCCCCCACGGAGCTCTACCGGCAGGTTCCGGGACTCAAGGCCCCCAGGGCCAGCACCCCCACCCCAGATTCCAAGGGCAGGTGTAGGCGCCCTCGGGAAATCAAGAAACACTGTGGCATTGAGTGGGTAAAGAAAGTGGCTTTGCCCAAAGACAGATGTGGCCTTTGCCCTGGGCTTCTGAGAAGGGACTTATGTCACACTGGACGGGAGTATCTTTGTTTAAGGTGGGGACTGGCCAAGCCAGAAAGACCAAATATGTGAGGTAGGACGGCAGCTTTGCGTTGATCTCATCCGTGAACCTAGAGACTAGAGGCCATCCATGTGAGTAATCAATCAATCATGCCTCATGTCCGCATCACGAAGTCCTAATCAAACTGGATGCTGAACCCAGGTGAGCTTGGGGTTGGCAATACCCCGTACATAATGTCACACTTCGATGCTGGACATGGAACCCTCCCAGACTCTGCCCTAGGCATCTCCCGCTCTGGCTTCTTCTACTGTCTCCTTCCCCTGTAACAAGCCAGAACCGCGGGTACAAAAGCTCTCAGCATTCTGGGGGTCCTCCTAGTGACTTATCCACCCTGGCGGTGCTTAGGGAACCCCCTGAACTTGCAGGCGGCATCAGAAGTGAGGGCATTTTGGGGCGTCTGGGGGGCTCAGTCAGTGAAGCATCTGCCTTCAGCTCAGGTCGTGATCTCAGGGTCGTGGGATCGAGTCCCCCACATCCCCCCCTCCCTGCTGAGCAGGGAGCCTGCTTCTCCCTCTCCCTCTGCCTCTGCCCCCCCACTCGTGTTCTCTAATAAATAAAACCTTTAAAAAAAAAGTAGTGAGGGCATCTTGGGGACCATGCTGTACAGACTTCAGTTTGGCTACCTCAGGGGCAGCGTCCACTGGCCAGCTCACCCAGGTGTGTGAAGAGAGGCCTCCGGTTGGTGATGTGTACGCTGGTCAGGTTGCGGGTCACGGTCAGGAACGTGACATACTCTAGAAGGAAGCAGGAGAGGGTGGGTGGTCTCAGGTCACTGACATTGCAGTGAAAGGGAGCAGATTTCAGTTGTCTGAGAAAAAGCACCTCGACACCAAAAGCTAACAACAGGGCTGCCTCAGGCAGTAGAGTCCCCTGTCCCAGGGGGCCAATCCAAGCCAGGCTGGACGGCCACCTTCCAGGGTGCTGCCCTGGCTAGATGGAGGGACTGAAGCCAAGGTTCCGGGCTCAGCACGTGGCCCACCACAGGGAGGCGGGACCCCACTGCTTGGCTGACCCTCTAAGTGCCTACTTTGTGAATGACTTAACCTCTTTTATAAATAGATCCAAGTCAAGGGTTTCCCAAGTATAGCACCCCTTCTAATAGGATTCCTCGGAGAGGAGAGGCCAGCCCACCACACACTGCCCAGTGTCCGGGTTTTATCACAGCTACCGTGAGCTCCCGTTCCCAAAGCGCCACTATCCCAGCGGTGGCCTCATCAAACTCTCAGCTGCGTGGGGAGGCTGGTGGAGAGGAGGATGGAGGCTGAGGCCCACGAGGAGGGGCCAGGGCTCACGGCCACGGCTCTGAGCTGCAGGTAGTTCTTAGAGGCTGGGGGGAGCCCAGCCATTCGTCCCGAGGGAAGTCCCTACCTCTGGCCCTCCCGCCCGTGAAAGAGCCATTCCGTGGGCTGCACGTGCCGTTGTCCCCTCCGCACACCTGACACACGTCTCGCACCCGCGGGGAGTCCATCCTGCCGTCACAGCCGAATGTCTGTGCAAAGAGCAGCGGCAAGTGACACCCGGGCAGGTGTCACTGGAGGGTGCTGAGGCTCTGGGATTCACACAAGAAACAGGCGGCATTAGGCAGCATCCTACGCCGACGCAGGGAGCAGGTGTAAAGGACCCGCCCGAGGTCACAGCAGGGCTCTCAGCCCCCAGCCGACTCCAAGGTCAGCCCAGTGCCCTGGCATTACCCCATGCAAACTCTGCTGCAGCTTCATGGGGGCCCGCAGACCTGGCCCCCTTGGAGCCCCTTAGCATCTGGCTTCTGATGTGACTGGCCCCAGGGCCACCGCGGATGGGAGGGCACCTCTGCTGCCCACACACGCCTACCCTGCAGCTGCCCAACACGCACAGGCTCAGGGTCCCGTCCTCCCGCCGACCACTTGGCACACACCGGGTCCCATCCAGGAAACTGTCCCCACGCCTCACAATGAAGGTCTCGCCAATGGCCCGGCACATGTGTCTGCACAGAGCGTCCCCTGGGGAGGCAGAGGGACAGGGAACCCTCGTGTGAGGGTGACAGGGAGTAGGGAAGGCAATGACCCTGCAAAGCACAACCCAGGGGTGCCCGCCCTGGCCAGGCCATCTGGCCTCCTCCTTTGGGTTGGGGACATGGGTCGGGTCTCCTGAGGCAGTGATCACAATCACAATGTAGTGACTGTTACTGAGTTACCAGCCAAGGCGCGCCCTTGGTGTGGCCCCAGGATCACGTCACTGAATCCTATCACCCGAGCAGGGAAGCCCTGCGCTCATCTCCATTTTACAGATGGGAAAGCCGAGACCCAGGCCTGTTAGCAAGGGGTCGCACCAGGACGTGATGCGACTGACGCAGAGCCTGAGCCGGAGCCCTGCTCTCAAGAGCATCGGGGCGATGGGGGCCAGCCCCACCTTGACTGTACTGCTCCGCGGAGCCCCAGCGGTAGAAGGAGGCGTTGCCCAGGGAGAGGTGTAGCGGTTTCCTGTCCGTCTGGGAGCACTGCTCGGACATGAACTCCAGCTGGGTCTTCTCACAGGCCTGGTGGGGAGGAGACAGGGGACGGGCACAGGAGGGGCCTTGGGAGGAGGGGCTTGGGGCAGGGGAACTAGGATGAGGGCCTTTGCCACTGAGGACCACAAGGCACCCCACAGTGCGAGGGTCACAATGTGGGTTTGAGCCCAGCTCCTGGCTGCACCTCGGTTCCCTGCTCTGTAAAGTGGGGGAGACACGAGCCTTTCTCTGTTGATGGGAGAATCCAGGAGAATTTGCAGGGACACAGGGCAGGACCTACTGCCCGGCGGCAATGAGATAAAGAGCACTGCCCGCCTGCTCCCCTCCCCCGAGCCTGGGCTCCAGGTGAAGACTGTGCCCTCCCGGTCTGGGGAGGCCCCATGCCTGCCTAGAGAAGGTGGGAGGGAAGGTCTCACCAGATGCCAAACTTAACTCAAGGTCAAAGGAACCATTCTAGCAGTTCCCACCCAGTAGAACGGCCACGATCAAAACCACAGACAGCAAGGATGGAGAGGAGGGGGAGGATGCGGAGAAACTGGAACCCTTGCACATTGCTGGTGGGGAAGGGAAATGGCTCAGCTGCTGTGCAGGATGGCTTGGAGGTTCCTCAAAGAACTGGACGTAGAAATACCATGTGACCCAGCGACTCCTCTCTTAGGTGTATACCCAAAAGAAATAAAAACTGGCACCGAAGTCCACGGACACACGTGTCCACAGCAGCATGATTCACAATAACCAAAAGGTGGAAACGGCCCAAACGTCCATCAGCAGATGAACAGATAATACATGGTCCATCCGTACAATGGGATGTTATTCAGCCATCAAAAGGAGTGAACTTCTCACACCTGCTACAACGTGGATGACTTTGAGGACGTGATGCTGAGTGAAAGAAGCCAGTCACGAAAGCCCACCTACCGTGGGATTCCATTTCTATGAAACGTCCAGGACAGGTAAGTACACGGAGACAGAAAGCGACCAGTGGTTGCCAGGGGCTGGAGGATGGGGAAGGGAGTGACTGCTTCATGGCTCTGGGGTTCGACTTTGGGGTGATGGAAACGTTTTGGAACCTGACAGAGGTGGTGGTCGCACCACATGGTGGATGTACCAATGCCACTGGATCCCACACTTTAAAACGGTTGATTCGATATGATGTGAATTTCACCTGTGCTTGGACTGAAAGGATGGTTTCAGGGGGTGCCGCCAGGGAGGGCGGTGGCACGTGGGGATGGAGGTGCGACACCTGGAGCACCCACTGTGGTCCCAGCAGAGGCAGAGCAGAACCCCCTCCCTCAAAAACGCCCTGGCGTGAACCACAAATTACAGCCGCCCTGATCCTCTGGCTCCCCAGGGCCCGGCGCTGCCGACCTGAGCCTCTCGTCCTGCCCTGGGGAAGCAGGCCTACCTGCGTGTTGCACATCTCAGCCTGGAGGTCAGCGCCCACACACGCACGCCCTCCGAAGGCAGGCCTGAAAATGTCCACGAGACACAAGGGGTGACAGGTGACCCACTGCCCCCCAATCAGGGAATTTGGAGCAGACCCCCTCCCTGACTTGAAGGACAGGGCCCCCTCCGGGTGGTACCTGGGGTTCTTGCACTGCCGCCTCCGGGTGACCACACCTCCTCCGCAGGAGCGGGAGCAAGGGCTGGGGGGGCCCCAGCTAGACCAGTGCCCGTGCACCACCCCCACGGGGCTCAGCTCCGCCAGGGAGCGGCAGTGACCCTTGGAACACCACTGCAAGAGAAGGACACCCCATCCCACATCTGGGGCACCCCACACCCACGGGCACCCCATCCCACACCTGGGGCACTACCCACACAGGGCACACCATCCCACACCTGGGGCACCCCACACACAGGGCACACCATCCCACACCTGGGGCACCCCACACCCACGGGCACCCCATCCCACACCTGGGGCAC